ATTCAGGATCTGCCTCGGCGCGATCAGGGAGATCACGGAGCGGAAGCCAACGACGCAACCCGCGACGCTGGACCGCGAATGCGTCGCGCCCTTGCGCGCGCGGGATATGAAAGAAGATTGATGAGCTCCTGTGGATTGTCGGGGCCCGCTCCGCTGAGGCAGTGGACTGGGCGCCATCTGGGCCTTGTGCCAAAATGGATTGACTCAAAATGGCCACGGGAGGAGAAGGGGAGGGGGGGGAAGGGGGGGGGCGAGGAGGGGGGGGGAAGAGGAAGAAAGAGGAGGAAAATGGGGGGAAGAGGAATAACACGACGAGGAGGAAGAGGAGGAGGGGGAGGAGAAGGAGGAGGCGGAGCAGGAGGAGGAAGAGGGAGGGAAAGAGGGGGCGAGAGAGGTGGGGGGGGGCGGGCCCCCCCCCCCCCCACACGCACACACAGCAGCGCGCCCCCTGGCGCGGCCGCCGCCCTCAGACCTCCAACGCGTTAGATTTCGTCGCGAACTTACATTTCCGACGATCGTATTTGTGCAATCCCACCGCTGTCCTATATGTCGAACTCTGGGCTCCGTTGTAGGGCGGCGAGGACTACGCGCGCCCGCTGCCGCTGACCGGGCCCGCGATGGGCCCGGGCGCGGCGCGCGTGCTGCCCTGGCCAAGCCGACGGGCGCATGCGCTGCCCCTGGGCCCAGGATGGGCCTGGCCAGCGGCGGTGGCTATGCATGCGCATTCTGGATGGGCCCTCATAGCGGCACGATGAAGGGAAAAAGGGGGGCAGGAGTTGACGGTGGCAACTCTTTTTTCGGGCGGCGGTTCCGGGCGCCCTGGCTGGGGGCCCCTGCCGCTCCCGAGAGCCTGCCGCTCAGCAGCGGCCGAGCGCCTGAGCCCGCATGGCATCGGACATCGGGGGGTTCAGGGGGATTCACTTACGCGTAGGCAACTGCACGGGGGCGCATCCTCGATGGGCCTCAATGGCGGAGCAACTGCGGAAATGGGAGAAGGAGGAGGTGGCGGTGAAGCTCCTCCTTTTTTTTCCAAATGGCAATTTTGTAGCCCCTGGCCCGCAGCCCCCACCTCTCCAAGGAAGTCGATGGCCCCCCACGCGACTGGGGCGAGACACCAATGGGGCGGGGGGAGAAGGCCTCGAGGTGAGAGGAGACCGAGGCCCCACCAGGACGTTGCGAACGTCGGGGCCCGTCCACCATTGCACCTCGCTCCTTCCCCCCCTTTCCGCGGGCCGTCGCCGCGCCCGCCGCCGCGCGCGCGCGGCCCGAGAGGCGCGCGCTCGAAACCCTGCCCATCCCCTGGAAGCTCTCGCCTGCAAGGAATAGGCGCAGCACGCAAGCCAGAGAAGCCCCTGGAGGCCATGGGGGGAAGTGCGGATTGCGTAAGGCGCTTCTGTCGAACTATCATGCCCCCCAAATCGCCGCGCGATTCGGGGTCCGAGAGAAACCTCCCCCATCCCTCTGGTAGGTTTGCGCCCCGGCGCTTTCACGGAGCATTTAAACATCGCGCGCCCTTGCCGGCGACTTCTCGGGGCGACGCGCCGCCAGCTTCCCTCTGGGCCCCGAAGCGATCGCGGATGGACGCACCCCATGTGAACGCGCGCAAGAGCGTATTGTGCACGGGGGAGTCCGGCATACACGCGCCAACTCTCTGTCGTTATTATTGTTCCCGCTGGGCTTTCTACTCCTCGTCTGACGCATTCGAGAATTCCACTGCGAATTTTGCTCCAGGGCCGCGGCCGACGCGCGCGCGGAAGCCGTCGCGCCCCGCCGGCCGCGCGAGCAGAATCGCGCCGCTGGGCCTTTGGCCTCGGCGATCTCCGTTGCCCAGCCGCGGCGACAAGCGCGGGTGTCCCAGGGTCGCCCTTCGGCGCGCCCCAAAGCTTGCGCGGCGGACTTCATGCGCGCCAGGGGCCCACGGTAGGAGATGCCCGAGAAAGGTGCGCCATTGCCTGCGAGCACCCGCTGCAAGGCGCACGCACCATGAGGCGCTTTTCCTTGCGAGCCGCAGATGCAACGACGGCGTGCAACCGCAGGTTCCGAGCAGCACGTGCGATGGAGAAACGTAGTGTGGGCCCCCTCAGCTCCAGAAGCTGCCCTGAGTGCAATCTGCGCCTGAGGCTGTCCCAGCAGCAAAACATCGCCGCGTCGGGGGCAGAAATGTCGCGCGACGCCCCGGGAACCCCCAGGCGTGCGCCGCTCGCTCCCGGCGCGCCACTGCGTCAACTTGCGGGCTTGATCCGCCGACGCACCGACCACGATCTTACGGTTTGTCCCCTCCGCATTTTTCCGCGCCGCGCGCAACTCGAACTGCGCCGAGAAAAGCTGCGAAAGGCTCGCAGATCCATCGCAATATTGCGCGCGAGTGCGACAGATATTTACCAGCGGAACCGCCGCCTCGAAAAGCACGAAAAATGCATCCGCATTCGCTCGGGGGCCAGGGATCCACGCCATGCGGCCTGCAGCTCTGTCCGCGCAGTGGTGGCGCAGGGGCGCGCTGCGCTGCGCTGGGCCGCCACCCGCAAAACTCAATCCACATGGCCTCTCCTTCGAAAAACTCCCCCGTCGCAGGGGGTGCAAGGATTTAGCTGTCTGCGGCGGCCAATGCCCCGATCGCGTCAGCCAGGGTCCGCGGCGGCGGTGCCTGCGAGGATCGGCGCGCAGCAGCGCGAACAATCAGCGCTGCGATCGCCGCCTGCTGCTTCTCGTCGCAAATGGCTGCTGCGGCCCCCCGCGCCCCCGGCGAAGACGTCGTTGGCGCCGACTTCGCTTGGGCGGTAATTGCGGTCGGCGTAGCAGCGCTGGAAATCGTTTGGGAACGCGCCCAGAGGAACCTCTCGACAAAACTGCGAGGCCAGACCTGCAGAGGAGCCCGCGTGCTGAAGTTTCCTCGACTGGCGCCCCCTGGAAATCAGCGGCGTTTGTGGCGCCGCTCTAGAGCAACCCCCGTTCCGACAATTCCGCGTTTTCAGTTTGGCCAGAAGCAACCCGCGCGGACGAACGTTTCGTTGCCCATCTCCTAGACGCCCCGTCGCCTGGCTGGCATCGATGAATCAAATAAAACTCCGCTCCATCGGCGCCTTAGTCCTGGAAATCCTAGCTGGGGCCAGCAGCGACGGAGAATGTGCGCAGCAAGCATTGCAGGAACATCCGAACAAGCAATTGTAAAGCGCACTCAGACCTGAATGCCGCGAGTCTGGAATCAGAGTATGGAAACGCTCAAGAACATCCTCTGCAGGCTGCCTTCGCAGGAGCCTTGGGCAGCGACTGGACATGGGCAGCGACTCGACACCCACTGCTGGGCTGGGCTCCTGGGGGCCCGCACCAGGCCCGCAGCCCAGCAGGGCAGCCTGCAGATAAACGAACCACCTCACAAGCCGCATTTGCGGCACGCAAGGGTGGCAGTTGGTCGCGGCGCCGCCACTTCGCTTCAGAGAGCCCCTTCCGTCCTGCGGGGTCCCTTCGACTTGCAGATTTCGTCATCCTTGCGCGGCTTCTTGTTGGAGCACTCGTTCGTTTTGCGGGTCACATGCCCCGCCGCTATCCATCCAGCCACCAACCAACCAGCCAGCCAAAAGGATGAAGAGTGCGAGAGGGGGGTGGCGCCGCTCAGGCGCGTGAGCTGCAGCTCCCTGTTGGGAGCACCCAAACATCAAAGGCCGCGTTTGCAAAGCACGGCGCCCGAGGGCGCACTCTCGACAGCAACATCTGCTAAGAGGCCACAAGGCAAAATGACAGTCATTTGGCACTGGTCACCTTGAGACATTTCCCTGCCTTCAAACCGCTGCGCGATGTATGGGACGATGAACACATTCGGTAGGCTGCCCTCGCAAAGAAATGTTGGCAGCGACAGGGAACCTACTGCTGGGCTGGCCTCCTGGGCGCGCGCACCAGGCCCAGCCCAGCAGCTGCCAAGGCTAGGGCTCCCAACTTCGCGCTTCGCGCTGCGCGAAGCGCGAAGCGCGAATAACTTCGCGCTCTCGCGCCGCCCTCCCAAAAGGAGAATAGGAGGACGAGGAGGAGGGGGAGAAGGAACGAGGACCGCGAAGCGCGAAGCGCGAATAACTTCGCGCCCTCGAGGGAGCCCTTGCCAAGGCAAACCGATGTCTGAGATGCACCGGGCCCAACGCACAGACAAGGCGCCACCTGGGCGATGCTCGAGCTGCACATGCGCAGCGGACGAGGACGAGACCTCTGCGCTGCGCGCCTGCGCCTCTGTGCGAGTGCCGTCGTTTCTGCACTTCCGGGCGGAAGAGGAGGAGGATGGGAAGGATGAGGAGCCGAACCACGAAGCGAGAAGCGCGAATAACTTCGCGCCCTCGAGGGCGCCCTTGGAGAAGCCCTCCCCCCTCGCCCCCGTTTGCGCGAGGTTCTTGGAGCTTCCGCGGGGCGAATTCGCATGTCACGTGCTCGAGTGCACCTGCGCCTCTTTCTGCGCGTTCAGGCGCGCTGCGAGGGCGCTGCACACATCCGGGCAAGTCGACCCAAAACTGAGCGTGTCCGCGCGTATCTGCGCATTTGTCTTGGAATGCGATTTCTTCGCGGACGAGCGCCCATTTTCGGAGCTGCCACGTGGGCCATGGCGGCGATCAATGTAACTAGATCGGAGCTGCGCTGTGTTACCAACTGTGAAAGCGGATGCTTTTGCAACCTAAGCGCTGAACGCGCAAAAATTCGCACGAATCCAAGACGGGTCAAACACGGGCGCAAAAAGAAAAGGACCCCTTCAGTGACACCGCGCAAAACGGCCGTGGCAGAGAAGGATACTGTTGGGCAGGGCAAGTCTGCAGGAGCATTAGGCTATCGACTACTGGGAGGCGGAAGAGGACGAAGATGAGGAGAAGGAGGAGGAAGACGACGACGAAGAGAAATAGGAATAGAGCGAGGAGTAGGAGGAAGAAAAGAGGAGGAAAAGGAAAACGACGACGGGGGGGGAGGAAAGCTCCGTCCTCCTTTCCCTTCCTTCTCTCCCTCTCGCTCCCCTCCCCTCGGGGCAGAGCGCTCCTCCCGGCGCAGGCAGCGCTCCGGCCTTCGGCTGCATCTGGATGGCGGCCGGGCCGCCCACGCCGCGCACGGGCCCGGCGAGGCCTGGACGCCACGGCCGGTGCCGGCGGGCCGGCCGCCGCCCTGGCGCTCACGACTCGCCCGCGGGAGGGCTTCCGGGAGGGAGGTTTCGCCTGCGTCTGTACGAGTCCCTCCCGCCTCTGCCATCCCTCCCTCCCTCCTTCCCTTCCTCCTCCTTCCCTTCCTCCTCCTTCCCTTGCTCCCTCTCCTCCTCCTCCTCCTCCTCCTCCTCTTTTTCTTTCTGTATGTCCTTGATGTTGTTTGTTGTTGTTTTCTCTCTCTCTTTCTCTCTCTCTATCTATCCTTCTCGAACTGTAGGAAAGTGATGCCAGCAGTTTTTTCCACAAGGAAAAAACAACCCAAAAGGGGGCAGGGCAGACATCATGGGTTGACCCTAGAGGCATCCCCCCCCAACGATGGAAATTGTAATCCCTCCCGCAGTGAAGTCTGGTCCTGGGGGGTTGAAGTGCCACATCGGCGCAATCACAACAATCCATGATCATGCGAACGATGCGTGGCAAGAAACAACTGACTGACGCGAGGTCGTCCACGCAAGCAGATGAAGCGTCCGGCGAGGCGGTGTCCTCTCAGGGTGATGGAAGCGAAGGGCCCAGGGGTCGGAAGCAGGGGGGGAGATGTCGCGGCTGCTAGCCCCGCTTGGATTCCGAAAACGGTTGCCGCAACGGCCGCATAGGAAGTGTCGCGCGCGTAGGCGATCGGTGGATTGTTTGCGAACAAATGGGGTGGCGTGCTTTTCGGTTCCCCTAGTGCTGCCACCGAGATAACGTCTGCGCGCTGCGGAACGTGGCCATCGCGTGCTTGTGCGTAGTTTGCTTTTCGAACAGCGATCGTTCCGCAGGATGCAAAACCGCCCCCTGCATGGCGTCGAGACTGGGGGGCGCGGCCGCCGCCGCCCTGAACAGATATCCTTCCGGGGGGGAGAGGTGGAGGCAGCGGCCCTGGCAATTGTCCGCAATCGCTCGGGAGCGGCAGTCGAGGGCGGGCTCGACTGTCGGCCTCTCCATGTTTGCCAGCCTGGTCATGCCATCTCTAAGCTTTAGACGGCCAGAAGTCAATGGCTCCCACCCGCATTGCGGAGGGCGGGGCGGGGCGGGGTGGGGGGTGCGGGGGGGCGTGGGCGCAGCAGCCGCGGACGTGGCTACATTGCAAACGAACATGTTCCAATGGAATCGCTTGTAGGATTTGTCGCAATTCAAGCTAGCCCCCGTCGACTATATGCATGCATGACCTTGGGTAAGGGTGACATTTGGCGCGCGGAGTAAGAGGGCGCAGCGTGGCCGAACCCAGGCGCGCAAGCAGCCGCCATCGAATCGCGCCCAGCGATCGGGGGGGTGCCCAGATCAGCCCGCGTTAAAGGCCACTCTGGCAAAGGGCCACTCTTACGCGTACTCGACCCCCGTCGAGCCTGATCGACATGTTACGTCGCATTGGCCGACAGGGCCAGCTGCGCGCCCGCCCTGGGCAGATGCGATCCTTCGTCTGCTCTGATCAAACAGAAGTCCGCCGCCGCGTCTCCTCGGGCCCTTCGCCTTATCCCTGGGGCCGCAGTCGCCAGCGATGAAGAGTCTCTAGGAGGCCTGGGCTCCGAATGCCGAAATCTCCTCGAGCTCGGCGCGCGCCCCCGGGCCCCTCCGCGCCTCCCCGCGTGTCTTTTCGGGGCCGAGGAGGCCCCGAGCGGGGGTGCTGGGTTTCTGGGGGGCACCGGAGACGGGCCGGGAACGCCCCGAGTCACCGAGCGATCGCTCCAGGACGCTCTGGATGATCTCTCGGACGGCCCGAGAGGCCATCGAGGGGCCCCGAGATGCCTCCAAGAAGCCCTGGGGAAGCCTCCCATGAGGGCCCCGAGAGGCAACGATCATAGTTTTCCCTGCTGCATTTGACAATATTTGGCATTCTCGTCTCGTCGCCTTCCCGACGCCCCGAAGCGGTCCCGGGGGGCCCGAGGTCGCCCCCGGGCGGCCCGCGACGCCGCCGAGAGGGCGCCAAAACGGCCCGACGGCGGCCCCGAGACTGCCCGAGAAGCGCTCAAGACGGCCCTAGAGGGCCCCGCGATGGGCCCAGAAGCGGCCCAAGAAAGGGAACGCGAAACGCGAATCCGACCCCCCGCCCCGAGAGGCTCCCAGGGTGCCCCCAGAGGCGCCCGGGGGGCTGCCAAGGGGCCCCCGCGCGGCCCCCAGGAAGCCCCCGAGCGGCCGAAAAGAAGCTTCGAAACAGCCCAGCAGAGGCATTGCGGCTGCCCCCAGGCCCCCGAGATGCCCCGACACGGCCCGGACGAAGATCCAAAAAGCCGCAGGCCCGCGGCCCGGGCGCGGTGGCGGGATGGGCAAACGGCCGTTAATGCAAGTTAAGTCAGCGGGCAAAAGGAAAAACTGATCCGCGGCGCCCAGGCCCGCCGCCGTTCAGATTCTGCGGGGGAAAGGGAACTCCGCTGCGAACTGCAGCTGGCAGATCGCGCGCTGTCTGACAGAACCTCGACCCCCTGGGCGCGCGGGTCGCCCGCCCCGAAGAATGCGTCTCTCCTCGCCCCAAGGCTGCTGCAAGCAACTTGCCCAGAGGCCGCGCGCGTGGCTCCGGGGGCCCTGGTGGCTCCGCGCGGCCCTGGGAGGCGCCCGATCGGCCTCGCAACGAACGGCCAATCCACGCCCACAACCCATGCGCGGTGGCGGGATAGGCCGAGGGCCCGCAGATAACTGGCGGCACAGGAGCTGGCGATGCAGGGCGACCAGAGGATCTGGAAACATGCCCAGACAGAAACAAACCCCAAATCAAACCCAATAGCTCTGCGGCGGCCCTCGCAGTCTCCGCGAGCTGCAGGGCCGCGTCGCCGGCGCCCTTGGCCCCCCCGCCCCGCGGCCACCTAGGGCCGGGCACCTGGAACCGGGCGCGCCTAACTGCATTCCGCAACGACAGCGAGTGCCCGAGCCGCCGCGGGAACGCACCGACGCGCGGAACGACTCACCCGCGCAGGTGCGGGAGGCAGCGAGGGAGAGAGGTCCGTTGGGGGCGAGGGCCATTGCTATCCTGGGAACGTTCTCGAGGCCGTCAGCATCACTCGTGCCCGCTACGTCGATGCCCTCGAGCTTTGGAGCCGAGCTCGACGCAAATGTCACTGGCAACGGTGGGGGCGATTGGGGGTGGCCCGCGACTGCTGGCGCTGCTTGCAAGGCGCCGTTATAGCCATCTTGCTCGGCTGCCTTCCCCGCGATTGCCATCGTGCTGGGCTCGGTCAGTTTCCAAGGGGGCAGACCGGTCAGCTGGCAGCGCGGGGGGTCCGTTCCACGCAGAAAGGGTGCCTCCGAATCCTCCGACCAGGCGATGGGCCCCGCGCCGCGGGCTTCGCCGGCCCCCGAAGATGCCGCGAGCCCCTTGGGTGGGCCCGCCGAGCATCGACCCCAGACGAGGCGCGCCCTCCCGCTGGCGAACTGGCGCCGCGCTGCTGGCTTCAGCTGGGGGTTGGGGCGCCACGCTTGTAGCGTGGCTTCCGTTGGCCGCGCGTGCTCGATGGTGCGCCCTAGTCTGGGCTTCTCCTGATCGGGGGCGGGCTCGCGCGCGCCTCTTGGCGGGCCGCGTGGCCCGCGGAGCTGCCCCGCTTAGCTGCCCCTCGGGGGGCGCCGCCTCCCGCGCGCCCCCCCCCGAGAGAAAAAGGCCAGGCTGCGCGGACATGTCGCTGGCGAGACGCAGCTGCGCGCGCGCTGGGGGATGCCACGGGGGCTCCGCTGACCCCCGTAGAGCCGAGCCCTGTTGGGTCTTCGGGTTTTCCGCCCTTCGACCCGACAGGGCAACTCGCCGGGCGCGACTGTTCTTCCAGATCGCTCGCGCGAAGCAGGCGCGCTGCCCAGGAAGCCCGCCGTTCATTTCGCCGTCGAAGCTTGCAGCGCCAGCCCCTGCGCCCCCGCTGCTCCGCGGCGCGCTGGCCCAGGAATCTGTTCCACCGCTGCAGGGGTTGCTGCCTGTGCCGAAGCTACGGGCCGAGCGCCGACGGGCGGGGTGTCCTCGACGCTGGCACTCGGGCGAATGGCGCACCGAAATTGTGCTGGACCAAATTCTCCACCTCTCTCGCGCGGCTCCTCCCAGGCTGCGGCGGGCCGCGTGGCTGCGCGACGATCGGCTGCAGCTGCTGCTGATGCTGCTTCTGGCAGTCTGCAATCCGCTGCGCTGTCGTCGCGGCGTTCGCCTTCTGCTGCCTCTCGGCGCCCCTCTGCGCGGGCGCCGCCTGGGTCGGCTGGAACGGCGCGCCGAGGCTGCCCTGGAATAGAGCAAACCGTTGATCGAGGGTCGGTCCCCTAGTTGCCTCCCCTAGAATGGCTCCGCGGGGGCCACCTGGTGCTTCGCCGTGGACGTCGGCGCCCCATTTTCCCCCCCAGTTCTCTTCGGCGGGGGTTCTCGGACGCGGGCGAAGAAGCGACTGCTGCTGAACACTCGTCACGGCGATCATCTGCGCAAGTCCCGTTTGGTCCAGTGCTCTGCCAGATCCTTTGTCAATCGTGTACATCTGCCGCTGTAGCATCGCGCATGCCATGGTCGCACGCATGTCCGTCGCGGTCGCGTTGGAAGGCATAGCTGACCAACATGTTGATTGACCGAATCCCTGCTTTTCAAAAGGTCCTCCAGGTGCCGTGCGCGGCGGTCTCGGCGGCGGCGGCGGCAGCTGGGCCGACTGCTGGCCCGCCGCATCCCGCTTCACTGTTGGACCATATCCGCAACCTCCTGGTTTAGTTCCTTGAGGGCTTCCCCGGGTTTCTCCACTTTGGCGAGAAAGACTCTTCCCTCTGGGCCTGGGCCTCCTCGATATTGGTTTCGGTGGCTGTGATCCTCTCGCGAATGAATTCGATGTCCGTCTGGACCTTGGTGGCGCTGCCTCTGCTCGGTTCGAGCGACGCGAGTGCGCACTTGACGACTGCGATATTTTCCAAGCCGTCCTCGTTCACAGCACCCGTCCTCCTGGTGGCGGCCACGAGCGCTTCTACTACTCCCAACGAGTGTTCCATGTCGACCTTGAAAAC